ATATGGATCAGAAACCTGGTCGCTGCGCGCTGAGGACGTCAAAAGACTTTCAGTGTTTGACCATAGATGTCTTCGGAGCATTGCCCGGATCTGGTGGGAACACCGGATCAGCAATGCTGAAGTACGCCGAATGGTATTTGGGAGAAATAACTCACCCTCGATAGATGAACTGATCACGCTTCATAGGTTGCGCTGGCTTGGCCACGTGTTGCGTATGCCAGTCGACCGACTTCCTCGAAGGGCTCTTTTCGCAAAACCACGTGAAGGGTGGAAGAGAGTCAGAGGCGGTCAACCAATGACTTGGCAGCGAAGTATGAAAGCCATTACCAGTAAACTTAGCTGCGCTGGTCATTGCCGTCTTCCTGAATGGGGACCCCGAGACAGGCCACATCAATGGCTAGAGACATTGTCAGATATGGCCCAGCCGCGCCCTCGGTGGCACTCCAAGCTATGGCCTTCAATGCATAGCTCCTTTTCCAACCCCCCTCACCACTTGACAGCCCACTGACAGTGCTGGATTTATGCACCAATTTATCAGCTCCCGCCCGCAACGCGCAGCTACTCCTCCCTCCCCCCCAAACCATCGGTGAACGAAACTGCGGCAGCTACAACCACAGTACGACGAGTACGCGGTTATTACAGCTGAAAAGATGCTCCCAACGCGGTTATTACAGCTGAAAATGATGATGCTCCCAGGATATTCCCTCACAGCTATTGGGTACTTGGACACCATAAGTCTTCTTGGACCTGATGCCATCGTATTGCAGACAATATTATTCTAAGAAACTCGACCTCACGGTTGTGCGTGCGATTCACGTGTGCAAAGTGTAAAGTGCTGCTACAATACTGGGTGTGCTCGAGCCCTTACTTCATACATGCGGGAGAGCCGGTTGAGGTAGCAGACAAATGTGTCTACCTGGGCAGCTATATTAGTCCCGGTGGTCTCGCGAAAGATGCTATTTCCATCCGGATTGAGTGGGCTAGTGCAGCTGAACCACCTGTGGTGTAGACGTGACATCAGCTTATCCATCAAGGGTCAAGTTTAAAGTGCTGCGTTGCCCTGCGTATTATTATATGGGTCGGAAACCTTGCAGCTTTCAGTGTTTGTTCATCAATGTCTTCGGAGCATTGCTCCAGTCTGGTGAGAACAGCGAATCAGTACTGCTGAAGAAATACCTCACTCCACGTTAGGTGAACTGATCATACCCCATAGTTTGCGCTGCCTTAGTCACGTGTCCTGCATGCCAGTCAACTGACTTCCCCGAAGGCCTTGTTTTGAAAAAAACACGCAAAGAGAAGAATCGAGCCAGAGGAGATCAAACAAAGACTTCGCGAAGTATGAAAACCGTTACCAGCAAACTCAGTTGCGCTGGTCATTGCTGTCTTCTCGGATGGGGACCCTGAGACGGGCCACATCAGTAGTCGAAGACATTGACTGATATGGCCCAGTCGCCCGCTTAGTGACGCGCATGCATCCGAGTTGTTGCCTTCAGCCCTCGATATCCCTGGTGAAAGGCCCACTGAAGTCCAGATATTGGCGCACTAATTCTGTCGGTTACCTCATCTAATGCATAGCAGTTGTAGCGACAAGTACACGGTTTTTACAGCTGAATATGACTATTTTTCGCTGAACAGGCAGAATATTTCTCTTTCATTGCAGTAAATCTTCAAGTTCCTTATACCTATGTCACAGTGGCGAGTTCAAGTAGGTTAAGCCAATCCTAATACCGTCTACTTCCAAACTCAAGCAATGGAGAGCATTCACACGACAATGGCTCATCTACGATGCTTATATGCAATGCCCCATGATGTCGGGTGAGAAAATCGCAAAGTATTTGCTGGGAAAGCACATCCGCTACTACGATCCCAACTGTAGCCTAATAACTTCCATTCCTTAAGTACTTCCATTTAGCCGACTTTGGTGCACACGTCGTTGTATGTAACACCAGGCATGTGGCCGTCAAGGACAATAGTTACTATTGGAAGCGATTTCTCTATCCAACATATACCAGGTAATGATCTTTTCCAGTTGTTTTGTGACTTCGTATCTACCCATAGGTTTGGGGCATTCAGAAAGGACGAAACTATGGAGGAATTACATATTCGTGATCCAACTGAGGTAAGCGGTAGCCAGTAGATCTTGCAAGTCGATATTCTTATGTCGCTGAGCAGTCAGATCGGCCGATTCACCTGCGGTTTATCAGTGTTTTGTTTGAATGCGTTCAACGGAGCTACGTGTTCTTCGCTCATAGAATACCCTTGATATATATTTTCTTTTTACTTACACGGAAACGCATTTCCCATCTGGCTGAGAGCATTTCAGTGTCTTTTGCAATGAGCCCTTCGAACTGGATTGTCAGCACAACCCCACCAGTATTCTCTTACGCGTGAACTTTAGAACAAGTATAATCACTGTTCTTTTCAGTTGCATCACACTAACCAGTTTGATAAGAGGAATGAAACACACCTTCCTCATCTACTATCGACCTACACCTGCGGTAGATTTCGTTTAATGCTCCTACCCATTCAGTGAGGTATAAGGTACATAACAAGCTGTGACTGTTACAAATGTGCGCAGATATTCTTATTGATAACTCAACTTCATATGTCGTGTATAAGTAGCTGAATCTGAGCTAATGGAAAAGGACCACCCTGTGTCATTGCAACTTCATTTAGGGTCAGCTAACGGATTCGCCTCGTAATTTTTGACAAGTTACGAAAGGAAGACTTACGTTACCCGCATTTTCTGGAGTCACGCATTCCATCGGGTGGATATGTTTACTGACAACGTTTTTTGTTTCGCACTAAGACCTTTGTACAGTAAAAACCTGTCTGGAATAACCACTTTCCCGTATCATCTTGAGTTCCTGGGATAACTTTTCCACCGTTCTGGATGTCCCGCAGACAGATGCATTGCACACAGCAGGTGTGCTCTGAGCTGTATCGTGCTTGTGGTCGTTAGAAGCATCCCCATCGTGTTAGTATGCCGGCTGTCATGGTCAACCGATAGACATCTTGTGAGTGCAGTTCTTAGGGTTCACCCTTCCTAACCTTAGGGTGGGCAGCATAATCGGTTCCGTAAGTATGGAAATGCTGGTCATCCGGAGGAAATACCTAGATTCCTTTTCATTTCCATCGCAGCGGACAGTACGATTGTATATCCAGATTATCTTGCAATGTGTTTACTCGTATGAGAGTCTCAGCCGGGGGCTTCTCTGGAAGGTGGTGAGATTTCGGCGTATGTTCATGACTTTCATGAGCTCACTGACCTCTAAGCATCAAAACTGATTTCAGCTGCAGGGGCTATTCGCATATGTTTTTACCCTTCATACTTAGCTTTACTTTGCGATATGAATCGAATATCACTGATGCTTCCAACCACAAGCTAAGGAGTCCTAATTCCACGCTATTAATGTATTTGTGAAAAATGCGAACAAGACATTGTCTCTGTTCTATGGCAGTATCAGTTGTTTGATGCCCAATGGGATCATGCATATATCCTCGATTGTGTTCAGCTCGAGTGAGCTGTCACTGTGATTTGGAAGTCACTTGAAGTACGTGCTTATTTTTCTCGACGGGACACACTGTATTCTTTTGGTTGCTGGAAACTTTTTGACAGCCCACGACCGGCTTAGCTCTCTTTGGGGTTCATCGGGTTACACAATCTTCAGGTTTCCTTATTCCCTGTGAATGCTAATTATTTTGTTGGATCTGCAAACGGCACTATTTACCGAAAGAATGCAGACAGACCGTCCGACATTAGGGTGCATATGGAAGTAGGTCGTACTTTGCAAAGCTGATTAGAATATATTTGACTTCACTGGCGGCCTTCAGGCCTGTCACACCAGATGCCTTGTACTTCTGGATGATCGGCCTTGAAACACACCATCATATGATTCGATCGATCTTTCAAATCCGGGTTGCAGTGGGTGCTTCGTCCTGTAGTCTTGATGCGGGTCATATCGCACCTGGACACAAGTGGACACGGTACAAAGCAAAATCCAACTCCTTTCAGCATCGGGCGTGAAAACTGTACCAATGCATCCTGCGTCCCCTAACTGCTGCTGCTGCTTCTTAGGCGACTACAAATATTCCTGTGAGCAAGTGTTCAGGAATGGTAGGCTGTACAAGACCTTCGGAAGGTTAGAGCACTGGCTTCATCAACTGCATTTGACAGGTAGTATCAGTGAAGATAGTTTCCATGCTCTGTGGTGCATACAAATACATTTCACCTTTAACTGTCCCTCTTAGATGTTTTGATGCGCTGCGGCTGTAGGTGGAAGGTTCCAGCTAGGCTGTTCAATGAGATATCTCGCAATGAATTGGATGGGAACGTTTGATTAAAGCATACAATGGGCATAGTTTGCTGTGCGAGCTATCTGGCCTGACAAGTTCACATTAGGTAATAAAAAAGACAAATTGAACTAAATAGCAGACTACGTTTTCAAGTCCATGGGACAATATACTACCCACTTTTATATGCTTAATAATGGTGGGCGGTTTATGTAAATTTGTCAACGAAAGTTACAGCCACTTGTCTTTCTAATGCGAGGTTCACACTTTTGGTCATCACATTTTGAGGTCTAATGGCGCAGATACATTGTGACCGATTATTCGGAACAAAATATTTTGTGATAGTGTTTATTTGCCATTCCGAACATTATGTCACCCTATTTCTGGGTATTTCTCATCCCATTCTTTGTGTTCTGATGAAGAGAGCATGCCTTCGCTTTGAACCTGTTTGTGTCGCTTTTTGTTGATATCTCAGTGGGTCCGCTTTAGAGCGAACCCACCCTCTAATATTTTATTCGTAGTTTGTAGTTTTATGTACCATACACTTCTATCTGCCAAACGCAGACCATTTTTATGTGGTAGAAGTAGGCTTCTATCTTTCGTGACCGCCTACATTTAGTGTCATAACCCTGGGTGTTGAAATCCGATATGGGGCACAACTGTAGACTGTTACAGCATGTGATCTGGACTGCTAGTGGCATTGGGTAGGAGTGAGTAACGGTATTCAAGTCCGTTATACAAGTCCATTTTCAACCACCTGTGTCACTGTTTATTTGACTCCAGGTACTTCGACGCGAAGTCCGCGTTCACTTGAATACCCCTGCGTCAAAACTGTACGCTCTGGCCCGGTTGCATTTGTATCCAGATGGAGTTGAAGTGAGTTTCATATACTTGTTCTAACACATGACAGACTATTCCAGAGGATATTTTTGGTAATATATCCGGCGTAATTCGTCGTGTCATGCCAGTACCTAAACGATTGGATCAGTATTCCCAAGAAGAACTTCAAGAATTTCCAAAGCTGTTCGATTGGTAAGTTCTGATATTCATGTTGTGATTTGCTCAGTGTATTTTGTTTTGGCGGCTCATCATGCTCTCTGAAGTAGTGAGCTATTTTTAATGTTACACAATAGATCCGTTTTGTTATGAATAGATAGGATTCAAACTTCCTCTTCCAAGCTGCCTTGCCGTATTCAGATGGTGCCTGTTCTTAGAGCGGCCAACCGAGTAAACTGAAACTTGTCTTTGACTTGGTGTGATAAGATCGCCTGGACAGGCACGGAGTGTAACCGATCGTCAGCGTTTACAGGTGCTGTTATGCGCATATCTCCACTTTCTTGTGACCAGACAAGTCACCTATGCGTACGTCATAATGGAGATATGAACTAACATCATACGTAAGTAGTACAGCCTTCCACACTTCTCACTTTGGATCAATTTCCCAGTGGCGTATTAGTGCGTTTGACATTCGTGATGTCGGTCGCTTTTGTGAAGTTGACCACACATCGATGTTGAACCCTTCAGTCGATCTAACGCAGATTAACCGTTAACGGTGAGGTGAATTGGAAATCTCCACTCGGAACTTAGGAGCAGGACTGGCAAGAGTCCAGACAGCAGTCCAGCTGGAGAAACCACACTGTAGACTGGTTCTTGTTACTGAGTGACATCATCCCCTCTCTCGTGTTCTTGTTGTCTTCATGCCAAAGAATGGGAATTGCCAATGTATGATGTGGTTTCTACGATTCTTGATTCGGCTGTTCGAGTGGTTCTCAGCCTATTTACAACGAGGAAGAAAATGAAATACCTGACAATTCGTAAACCAACACGTTGACATATTGACCCAGGCTATGTTTTCTCCGCTTTTAGACACCTTGCTACGATGAATGCGCCATTAGCTTGAATGTCACCATAAACCAATACCGCGAAGTTCATGGGTGCCATTTTCGATACTCCTGAGTTTTTTTTTAAATTTCAGAAACTGTATTGTTTGTTCCATTTATATTCAGCATTCGAACAGATAACTTAGAACACTCATCACCAACTATCAACTTACACATCAGTGTGAACATCTATTTCGCGATGAGCCGGTGGTGCGTTTTTCACCATATGACTAACGTGGTTAGCAAGTAGTTCGGAATAATTTTCAGAGATGTTGGAATCTGCTAGATGGCAACTTTTTGCCAAGTGTTTTCATACATGTTCATTCATTTAGTGTGTAGGTAACCTGTTCACTTAAGCACCCTGCGTCATTCGCAGGGTGCTCGTTGAAATCCACTCAAGGTCCGGAATTTTCTGGCCGTGTGACGTTATTCCACAGAGAAGCCTCTTGATAACCGAATGTCAGCTTCGCGTTATAATCTCCAACTATTGATCCACTGCCTTCATTCTTGGGCAGATCACAATAGGTGTCTTTTTCTCTGGGTTTTCTACCACCTCACTGTTTATCCATTTCTCTTATTCTTTTGTTGTTCCAGGCCTCAGGACTTCAATGTGGCCCCCCTTGGTCCGTTAGATTCGGGGAAGGTGAAGTAGTCCTTTTGTATTCGTGAGACCATTCTCCTCTCTCCTGCATCTTGTACATATTTTCTAGATAAATTGCCTACTCTTAGTTCCTCAACGCGTGCCCAATAGACTTGGTTTTCTCCCGATTGCTCCTTTACGCGGTTCAGCTAGCCTTTCAGTGAGTCATTCATGGTGGATAGCAGTGGAATTTTATTGCCCATCGGACGATATCAACCTAATACCAAGTGAGGCTAATATTGATCCAGCTGCTGCCTGCACACTTCCAAGGGAAGTCCGTATAACTTCAACCCAAATATATATTGCCCTATTCGCGTCACCCTTAAACAGATGAGTTTTCGCTCCCTTGCAAGGTATTATCTCTGAAGAGGTCTCAATGAAGAGGACCCAAAAGCGATTACCAAAGAGGCATAGTATTTCAAATCATGGGTGGCTTCTCCAAACGCCAAAGTTTCTGGAAAAACCCGTATCATTATTGGTATTGCTAAGTGGAAATCGTAAAACACCTGATTTTCACGCGTCCTTTTTCCATTTAACAACCAATGTTTCACTCAGTCGTCTACATCAGAGCGACAGCAGGACAGTTTTCTTGCATACGCGCTTATAATTTCCACGTAGATATTTCTTACGGATGATTTCACTAACGGTCTAACTTTTACTTACTTACGAACGCTGTCAAAGCAATCGTGTCTCCTCCGCTCCATTCAGTTCGCTTTTATCTTGAATAAAGCGAAGTAATTATTGAACAAGCGTGGTTCATTAAGTATTCTAGTAGAGGGAAACGGAATTGACGCGATCTGTGGAAATGAGTGATCTCCCTAGAGTACACCTTGTGCGCCGTTCATTGGTGTCCCAAACGTCGCGTTCCGTCCGATTCTTTAAAAATAACCGAAAGTTTTGAATCGTATGCTCTTGTGCTCAAAACTTGAAGGCGCTGCATATGGTTTCAGTGGAATCTAGCGCCAGCTGGCGAAAATCAAGAGTGCGGATTTCCACTCTCTCCTCATCAACCACAGATCTAAGCTTGTGACAAGGTGTGTTGTCATACATATCACGTAGTTTATATTTTTTAAAATAGATCCCAGCAACAGAATGTACATCAGTGCATCAAAGTGTACATACTTGTTTGCCGTATACGCCACAATTCCATCTCCGCTACTAGTCTTATTTGTGAACAGATTGTCTGCTCGGTTGGTGTAGCCTTTGCTGTCAGTTCTTCAGGCGACCATCCATAGGCGTGAAAACTGTGCTTATGGAAATTGGTTCCACCAGTTCAATCGATTTTCGGCTTGGCTTCCGATTCGCATCGGTACCCGAGGTACTTAGTTTTCTAAAAAAACATCCCTAGCTAACATCAGCTTACCATTTTCTCCTCATGCTTTGCTTAGAATTGATCGTTCCAGATCCATGACGTAATTTTTTAGTATCTCCAACCTTCCGTCGGAGCAATCGCTTGCAGATTTTGGGAGCTGTTACTGAATGTAGCCTCCAACTTCAATTACAGTTCGAAAAGACTCGACAAGAATTACGCTTCAAGCCATGACAGTGGCTTTTCGATTTTCGATCCTCAAAACCTGAACCGGCAACTGCTGTACCTGAAGATGTTTCGCTCTAATTTGCCCCCGAGTTGACAGTTTGTTTTAGGTACATTTACAATCCGCATCCAGTTCGTGTCATTTTTAATCGACGTTGGGTGCATCTCAGTCAATTAATGCGGAGTTAGGTACCTTCAGTGGAAAGTGTGCAGCCTGAATGCGGTTTGGAGATCTTTAATATTCTACCAATTGAACAGTGTGAGCAACCGTCACATAAGCTTTCTTGTACAACAGAGCGAGTCACGCCACTTCGTGCAAGTAATATCTAGAAATAACGAAAAATCTGAGCGACCGTCAGTAGTGAATGGCTGGGATACCTAGGATACGGTAGAATGATACGATAGAATGGTGCTGTGAAATTAGAGGTGTTTGAATGAGTATTACTCATAAAGTCGAGACAAGCATACATTCTGAACTAAAATGAAGCGGAAAAACGCATACTTTCGGCATCTGCGCCTGTCCCAAGGCCAATTATTCCATTTAATGTGGGGTAGTTTGCAGTTTCTGATTTAGTTTTGTCGTCCGGAAATCAGCAATAAGAAAATTGGCGAAATCATTTTGTACCATCCAATCAAAATAGAGAGTTAGTGTATGCGCGTGTGTCAAATCTCAGCTGTAGCTTAACTCATGAACCGTCGGATATCTACTCTTCGTTTGATGAGCCCCGAAAACAGGATTATAGTGATCGGTGATGTAAATATATTCGTTGTAGGTTCAATTTGTCCACACAAAATATTTTGTGATGGTTGTGGTGTGACTTTTGTGTGAAACACTACTTAGGCCACCGATACTGCCTACTTTTCTCCTTTTCTTATTCAAATAAGGACACTGAATATTCCAAAATAAGGTGTCGAAGGAGGTTACCCATTGCGTTTATGGTTATCTACATGGACACGTGTTAACCGTACGGTCGGATGGGCTGCTTAGTGGTCATCAGAATAACGAAAAAAATGGGAACAACTTCGGAATTACACCTTGAGAAGAACCAGTATTATTTGGAAGAAATAAAAAGCGCCGTTATCCAATGGGGCGGTAGAGTGTATAATTCGACAGTCAAGTGAGGAAATTGAGCGCCAAGGAACAGGAAACCTTCGTAGAGGAAGTTCTCTGTTTACAGTGAAAGACTCCGAAAAAGAGTCGCCTATTATCATTCGACGATGGAATTACTTTCACTCAGAGAAGCAGAAGTAAAGTGGGCCAGGAAAGCTTCAGCATCTAGTGCACCACAAACTGACTCAGAGTAAAAAGACGACGATGGAATGGTCACATGGCATGGTGTTTTCAACTCGGTTGGAGAAGAAGGAATAGTGTGATACCTTCTGCCCGTTTTGGGGACATGTTTAAGGCAACCGATCCTTTAAATTTTTCCAGGATGCATGGAACGAACGAACCAGTATCTAAAGAACGAATTTTTCAATTAGCAACTTTGCTTAAACAAATTATTGGCCATATCCTGAAAGCCGAAAATGGAAGAGGATCTACTTTGCTTCAGGATATGGGTCCGATTAAGGGCATGTAACTACAAAAGCTATCAAAAGCGCGACAAACTTTGGCTCCTATGGACTAATCAGTTTTGAAAACCGTGGAAGTATATTGCAGCAGGATATAAATTATGCAGTGTTCGGAGGTCGCCAGTTGTGCACAAAATTTCAAATCATACAGTTCCTTAGTCTTGGCGGGTCTACGAACGAGATGCGGCCCCATCCTAGTAGGTTTGTGAACCAGAGCACGGAATCCCGAAAGGAGAAAATATTTGCAACTGACTGTTCGGATAACCTGCTTGATGTGAAGGTTCCTCATGATGTTAGGTAGTAAAGTAGGGGAAATTCGTCCATATATTCATTCGGCTCGATAGGCGAAAGTTGGAAGAGGGGATTTTGCAAATTAGTGAACACGACCTTGCAAGTTGCATGGGAGCGACATTCAGAATAGGCAGTATACATTCAATGCTACTACCCGGACACTGGAAGCAGACTTGTGTACAGTGCCTCTTCTGGATTCACAAGGTGTGAAAACCATTTCATCTTGCGTTCATTATCAGGGTAGAAAATAGTTCCAAGGAAGGATAGCTACTCCAATAGTGTCGAGGTCACTGTTCGTCACTTCTGGCAGAAGTCGATCTGGTGTTGATAGATACGAAAACTGGAAGGAACACCTTATACCCATGTATAGTTGACAGCCGGTAAGATCATTTACCTCGAGTACTTCTGCCATTCGCAGCTGATTTTAGCGAAAGAATGAATTCTTGGTAAATATGGTAACCATTATTAGTCCGGTGAAAATGAGCCTTCAGTTCACATATGATACGGTGGCGGAATAACCCAGAATTGGTACAAAAGTGCAACATTTTTGAATCGAAATTAAAACGGCAGCGTTAATTAAAGGGGATTTTAGGGATGGTTCGGCAATCATGATAGCTGATGTTGTATTCAGGGAACTGCTAGCAATCCATTCTAGCTCTCGGATGCTGCAAAACGCTCATGAAGCCTATCCGAGGTATCTACAGAAGGGATATTTGTGTGCGTGTGTGGACCATTCTTATTGCAAGCATGGAGTTAGGAATTTGACATACTTTTTTTCACCAATTCAACTTTTCAGTCCCTTTGTGTCCAATTTCGCTGTCAACAACTGCTCCTATGTGTGTGCTGAATTGCTCACTGAGGATGACAGCGTTTGGCGTGTTGTGAGGACGGCTGATTAGTCAAATTTATCCACTGTCCAGCTGGATCTTCCAATGAATTAAGCGCAGCGAATGAAGCCGATGAGATGTGGCAAGTGGTGACATAGTCTTTGACTGCAATGATGGTTTCCGAGTCCATCGTAGTCCCCGAATCCTTCATTTGTTTGCCTGTGCCTCGTCCCGAGATTTCCGAGAATTTCATGCTACTAATAAGTAGGTGAAATGTTGAATTATTATCAACTGGACCACTTCTGAAAGCACTGTTCTGATTGCTAACCGTGATCAAGCATTTACGTCAAGGCTTTAACACGTCCATCGGTGGACTCGGTAGCCATTCAATTGGTGAAAGAAAATTCCACAAGCCACCTCATAAACGCTCTTCCCTAGCTAATAAACCCCAATGATGCATATTTTTACTCCTCCATTCGTCCGTTCATCACTTTCGTTTAAGCTTCCACGAAGTGGCTGTGCAAACTCAAATTCCTACACCACTGTGCCTATTTTCCTGGCCAAACTACTTTTTTATTACCGCCACTGCTGTAGCGATTGTACGGTAATCTCCCCTAATAAGAAACGCTGCATTGGACCATAGCATGATTGGGGGACTTCAGATAACATGTCCGAAATGACTTTTCCGTGGTATGTCGAACGACTGGAGATCATCTTCAGAAACGAACTAACAATTTTCATTGGATACTTCAGCCTGCAATGAAGTTAGTCCACACGGAAGAGCGGAGAGACTGCTGAGCTGTTTCATATCGGTTAGTGGTCATCACCAACGTGCATATTACGAACCTCGCTAAAGATTCGTCATATGTCCTCAGTGTGATGATCACCCATTAATGAATCTAATCATAGTCCCGAATACTTTGTATATTGTCGTCTGGATGTATTGAATGCTTGTCCGTTGTCTTTTGTCTGTGTGACACACTGTTCCTCCAGGAAGCCGAAACATAGCAGCTGGATGACGGGAATCGTGTATATAGATGGAATATATTGTTACCCATATATTGCGTATGGACAACTTTCGTTCATTAACAAACTAATTATTAATAGACCAGCATTCGTATTGATTATACTTGAGAGCTCTGTTAACAATATACGCAGCCAGTGTGCACTGATGATGTCTTCTAGGATTGATGGCGTTCGCAAATTAAAGTGACCTCATGCGAAATAAGCGTTCGCATGATGCAGTCATACGATGTATGCTGAAATGCGGGAATTAATGTACGGTCGTTCCATCCTTAGTGGGAATCATCAGCAGTGCGCGGATCCCCTTCCAGCTGGTGGTCTGAGCACTAATGCATTCGGCAATGAGCGGCAGAGCACAATCTACCCCGCAGAGCTGTTTTTTCAGTCTTGTGCTGAGTTGAAGCTAACTAGTGGTGGGTATTTTGTAACCTGGCAACAAAGTATGAAAACACTAACCAGTAAAATCCGTTGATCATTGCTGCCCCTTTGGATGATGTCACCTGGACCCAACTCATCAATGGTTTGTGAAAGTAAATACGGCTCAATCACACAGCCAGTACTGCTAGTGAAACGAAGCTATCGTCTTCAATCCGTAGTTGTTTAAACCTAAATGCCAGGAGTTGATATTGGGATTTGTAACATATGTATTGTTCCATTCAGATCAAGTGGAGATTGATGTACATTTCAGGTTCATCTTGTAAAGCTGACTTCCAATGCGTTTCCCGTTTTCCATCTGATTTCCTTAAACTAAGCCACATACGCCTATTTCTATTGCTCCTTAGGACAAAAATTTACTCTTCTGTCTGTATCACACAAGTTTCATGCAACGTTTCTGAGGCATCCATAGAAGCCGTATGCAAAATGGAACGAAAAGATCGACGTTCTCGTCCATGCCAATCCTTAAAATGTGTTGCTATCGGAACATCCATATCTCGCTAGCTTCATTTTACTGACAACGTCGGATATCCAACGAAGGTGACTTCGTATACTCTTACACATGCAATCACAATAATAGAATCCTTGAGTAGTAAGCACCCGTTAGTTGACCTTGAAACACAATTTATACTCAAACCCACTATTTTCTGCAGCTCGATTTTGTGTTACTTGGCGTTCTTATTCCTCACATAAGAATGAAAGTCAGATTTAAACGAAGCAGGAAGGTGATTCTGCTAAACAGCTTGTGACTACCAGGCTACCATAATGTTGCGAATGTAATGTGCTTGTACTCATTATTTTTAGCTCGTCGGACTGATGTGGCATGAAGAAGTGCTCTTCTGTTAGGCCATTGATTGTGGCGAAAATTTGCTACTCGTCTCTTTCATTCCGACTGTTTTACCAGTATATGATTATATGGTGTGCATCTGTATGCATATCACGCAGACTTATTTTCCGGTGCGCATCTGTGTGCTTCCAAGCACTTGGATTTCAGGACAAATTTGACCAAGAGGCTATAAAGTTTTCAATATTATGTGTTAAATACCGTTTCTATCTGTGTACGATTCTTCGTCATTATAAGAGACATCATTCATCCTCTCACTTGCAGCTTGCCTCCTGAGGACGCAAACTGGCAATTCTCTATCAGATAACACTACGGGTTTTTACCGACACTTGTCAGATGCCGTGCTGTTGGCGTTCGTGAGTTCTGATGGGAGTGTGATCTTAAAAGTCGAAATGGTTGTTCATTTTGAAATGCGAACAAGGCTCTGTCACGGGGGCGTTTATCGTATGGATGGCCACACATGGATAATTGAACTGTGTGGAGTTTACGAAAATCCATTTGATACGGAATAGGCAAAATTTCTGTGTACAGAATGGCGACCATTTCTGTTCCTCCCGCACCAAGTGGACAAAGATTCACTTTGGAACTTTATTTTCGTGTGACCAACTTAAGTTGCATTGGCGACGTTAGGAGCTCCTGATTTTTGAAGCGACCATCTTTTGGACCAATATACACCTGCGAGCCAACTAGAAAAAAGCCAGAAATGGCGTCCACACATGCCTGGTACGAACGGTCAGAGGTAAAGTTGGATAACTAGAATAAGTTTAGAACGGAGGTTGTGTTGAACTGGCACGATGGACTCAGGCGAACCAACCATGTAATGGTCATCGGTCCGTATATTATGCCACATGAAAGCATGCATCTGCACAGTGATCATTCTCTTGGTCACTTGTGTTTCCCGTTATTACGTAGCCTACACAGACGATGCTTAGACTAATATCGTTAGTATACTTCGGTACCTAAAATGCATTTTCTGGAGATGTTACTACTCCCAGAATAACTCACCCACACGAACAGTATCGTTCTTATCGAAGCTCATCATTTGTGGGAAAAATCAGTCATCTGACCATTGGACAAATACTTGCACGAAATTGCCTGAAGCACTATTGGGAGGGGCGCCGAAAGAGTTTGAGCAGCTAGCGATTCGGTGTAGATAAGGATCTTGTCATAAACGACTGCAAATTAACCCAGGCAAGCGGACTGAAAACCAGGTTCGCCATCAAGTCGTCTCCACTGTCGTCCAGGGAAGCTCGGCTATCAAAATCAGATAGTCTTACTGTGGTTTGCCACCCCAAGCCCCTTACATGGAATGTCGTCCTGCTACCCAGGTCCGCTTTTTCACAACGTACTGCTGTTTTAATTAAAGTGGTGCTCCGTCCATATATCTTCCACTTTTAGATGTTACTAGACAAAAAATGTTTGCGTCCCACCAGAGTAGAGCTATTATCCGCAAACCTTCGCTTGCTGTCGAGATGAAGTCACCCTCTCGCTACTGTGCGGCTACTTTAATGGTAAATGTTATCGCTAAATAGTTTCTTCCGTTTCACGCACAAAAGCTTTCAGCTGCTCGACTGGCCTATGCTCGGCTGATCGGACCAATCAAGCTTCAACCAACTGATGCCGAACAGAACCATTTTTCTTAGTTTTCTGTGGGACTGTTTGCTTTGGAATTCTCCTCCGTCTGCTCTCTTCAGAAATCACAGTCATTAGAGTTGTAGGACTTAGGTTTTTCAGCTAGAACTTCTACGTCGATCTACAGTAATGTTTTAGTCATAAATCGCCGGTTGTCTACTTACGGGGAACATTTTTACCCAACCTAAAGTTATTAACTCGGTGCGATAGTTGGGCCTCTGTTCTGCCTATGAAGATTGAAATATGTATTCCTTGATATGCGACCTTGTCAGAATGACCACCAGCGGAAGAACAATGAGCATATATGGAATGATAGTTTACATTATAGGGTAATCTTTGGGTAACATCGTGCGGGTATTTGCTGCCTGTATATTGTTTCAGCGATCAAGCTCTTCATATTCACGGGGGCAGGACGGCTCAAGTGTTTAGAGCGCGAATTCACTGACCGGAAGGTCCGTGGTTCGGACTCAACCTTTTCCTCTCGACTTCCTCGTCTAGGCTTGGGCAACCTGGTAGTATCGCAACCCTCGTGCTTCCTTCCGGTTGCATGACAGCTAGCCATCGGAAGGGTGTTACAGCTGAACGATTTTTTTCATTAACGGAAGAGGAGAGGCTGCCTTTCTTTGGGGGGTCCACAGGCTTGAAGACACTGACCACACACCGCAATCTTCAGAATAGCGAAAACGAGAGATCCAGTTGCGTCTCCGGTGAAAACCGCATGGACACGCAACGAGTGTATCTGACGAAATATATTGTTTACAGATATGTATCGCACGAATGATTAAACCTGAAATCTTGAAAATCACAGTTCTATCGGAAAGAGATAAGCCTGAACAACAGACTACACTTGTTGCTAAAGAATTCAAAAGTCACAGTGCTGGCATTGAGAAGTTGAAAGGAATAACGCTGGGATAAGTGTAAGAACTCTTCGAAGCTGAAGGCGTGTACATGTCCTTGTGAGCATCAGTCTCAAAGCACACTCGAAAGTAGCACCGATTTTGCTAGAAAGAGCTGGTGGTTGACCAAACTGCATCAATCCAAGAAAGATGGCAAGCACTTTATGATCAGGTTGCGAAGGAGTGTTTTTCTGCATTTATGAGCTACCAAGTATCCATAATAGCTCACTCGGAAAGCGACATAAGCGAGTCTTACACTAGGCCGTCGCATATGATTTAACCAGTACTGCCAAGGACCAACTTTCCTTCATGAGCGAATGCGATATTCAATTGACAGAAAAAAACAACCAGGAAGACATTGGGGCCAACCAATCACGCTGCACACACAAACCGCGCTTCGGAGACGGAAGCAGTAATGGGGGAGTCATCAGTCAAGGCGCGCACTCACAATGTCTCCCGGTATGGCGACGAAACGTTTGCAAGCCAACTAACAAGCTTGGCGAACAGATCAACTGCCATCTGATCAACAACCATACCGATGTTCTTTGGCATTAGATCAAGTAATCATGGCGTTTGTCAATTTGTGAAGCTTTAGTGTTCCTCACTAGTAGAGTGCCGTTTATATCAGAAGTCATTTGGACTCACGTACACCTTATCAGTGATGCAACGATCCAACGACGATTCTTCAAAGATTTTCAACTGGCCGGCGTGATACATTGTGCTGAATTTAGTGCGGATCACTCTTTATCGTGAATGAACATGCTCATCATCTTTTAAAAAACAACCTTGTGAAAAAAATAAGGAGTAACCTCTACCTCGGGATGCTGGCAAACTGAATTGCTAGGCAAGTCTGACTGAATTCCAAGAGGTACCATCCAAGATAACGTCGGAACCCACTCTGTGTGAAACAGCGGACAAACAGTGAATCACAGTAGAACCATGTGGAAAGCTGGATTCGGGGAATGAGGGAGTTATTGCAAAAGAAATTTTTACGACGAAGAAAATTGTTTTTGTCAACGGGTAAACACGGCAGTGGTACCAAATGACCCTCAAGTTCATTCACTATGAGGAAAAATCGAACGGTAAAAGTAAGTTCACAGAGCAGTTACGTGAATTGAGGAGTGGGTGATGGATAGCAAGCAGTCTTCAGGAATCACTGAAGAACCCACCAGAAGTAAATACATATTCGTTCAACGACCTGTACCCGGTTTCAAAGACGACCCCTTCAAATAACATTTCTCTGTGTGCTGCGTATGCGTTATCTCACATTGACATGCCGTAGGCAAACGCATGTTTCAGCTCTTTAATGGGCTTAGGAATGTACAGCTGAGGTGTAGGAGAGAACTTGCCTTCACGATAATTCCACAATCATTTTCCTATTCCATCCGTGCGCTCATCAGCCTCTAACTGTTTCGCCCCTCCCTATACCCCATTCGTCTTGTCTCAAAGGCCTCCCCGTCGTACACTATTATATACTGGCACGTGTGAAAGCGTATGCGTGCTTGAATCACTCGCCTACATACCAAGCCATGTTCGGTCCCTTCGGCTTTCTCTACCGTGCTATGTCACGATCTCCGTGTGATGGCACTGCTACACGTAATCGCGAAGCTGGCTTCGGGATAGATGAGCACAACCCACGCTAGTGAGCCAACATTCCGCTCGCCGTTGCCTGGTCTGTGGGCCTTGGCACCGCGCTGTGCGGATCAGTGGCACGATTGGGCATGTGTTGACGCCACGAATATAGACACTAGAGGATTGTGGTGTACTTAGGCTTATTTTTGTGTAAATAGCACCGTAGAATTTCAAACCCAACTGTTCCTTTTCGAATTCAGGACCGTCAGGCCTATACATGGCTCAAACTTCCGTATCGGGAGCCTCGACAACCGTTTTGTTTTCAAGATATCTCTTAGTCCGTGTAAAAACAGTGTCACAGTTCTTAGCGATTGGCGGTACAAGCTGGCGGATAAGCTTATGTTTTTCACATGAATCCACAGTTTATCTGTGAGTACCTTATCTCAGATGTTGATACCATAATTGTGACGAGTGCCCTAAGGAGTCAGCACTAAATTCTGATCATGTTATTGGGATTTTTACATTGTTCTCTCTACTGACTTTTGTGTGTATTTATATTTGTCTCTTTGGTTTGTGTGTGTGTGTGTGGAGGTCTTTTCTGTCTACATAGAAGTGAGCGGTTTTAGCAACGTAGATTTTTCTAGTTCTAACGTACCTTTCTTGAACATATTATTTCTCATGCTTCCATGTTTTTAAAAATAGAGTTCGAGGTCTTTCAAATGGCGTTTGCTTGACAAAGGCCTTCAATTAAGATTTAAAAAGTCAAGAAAGCCAGAAGTTTCTTGGTTTAATATCCCACTCAAGAAAACTGTGTTAACCTGGTTGCGCCAACGTTCCGTTCAGAGAAAGTTAAAGCAAAACGCACGCCTTTGTTCCTGGTGTTCCTGATGTAATCCGTTTTACGCTGTACCCGAAGAGGGACTGTGAAGTATAGCGAATATACACTCATCTGCAAACTAATTTGATTTTTCGAGAGGCTCACCTGGAACCCAGCTGAATCTCTCGTTTGTGATGTTCTCAGGCAACTGAATGTGCTGCACCAGGCCACCTCATGTTTCAGTCTCTACGATATCCAAGATATCGCGATACATGTATACCCTTGTAATGTACTACTCCTAAGGTTGCTGAAACTCCGTCGAGTTTCAAGTAGAACATACGATTGACGAAAACCCGAGGAATGCGCCTACCTGGTGAGCCCCAAAATGGTCGAAACCGGTCGTGGGCTGTCGACGGAGTTTCAGCAACCTTATGAGTAGTACATTACAAAGACTGTGAAGTCTGTTCAAATTACCTCAAAATGGTACATACACCGACCAGACGGAGAGCTTTTCCAAAAAAATACGTTTCTACAATCCTGGAAAATGTTCTCGATGGACCAGAAGATCTTAAGTTGTACCTTGTTATCCAGGAATTTACTGTGTTCGGAGTAAGGTTTCAGAGCAATCACATTTGTTCCTGTAACCTAGACTCGATTTGTGTTCGGTAGCTTAACAAAGCGTACTGCGTGCACCTGCGCCAAAACTCTTCAGATAAACAGAAAGTTAAGGGGTATAGTATGCGGGACATGTGAGGTGATCTAACTTGATTAGGTTTATTCTGTCACTGTACGCCAGACGTGATCGAAGTGAATCATACGGATTCGACGTCACCATCGGCGACATGAGATGAAGCTTACTGATGGTGAAGTTTTGTAGCACATAAACGAGACTTTCCAACAATGTCACAAGGAAGAACGAAAAAAAGAAGGAGGTGGCAATAACGTGACACGCAAAATTTTATTTTGGGCATTAGCTGGAAACTGCCCTACTTTCTAGAAATCTTTCGTTAGTGTAGTGGGTGCGTGAATATGAATGTAACTGGGTAAATTTTGCTCCGTGTTACGCAACTGCCATCACAGCCTTGTGGGACGTTGACAAAGAACTACTCAGTGTTCACCCAACTGTGCATTTTTCTGACAAACACAGTTTTTTCAGAAATAGTTTGGCTCTTCGATGATATTCTGAGTGATACAGTATTCTTTGTGCACTCTCGGATGTATTCGGAATCACCGGACATTCTCTAAGGGATCGTGAAGTTGTTGTGATTTTGAGCATGTCATTTATTTGGTCTGTTGCAGAACGATTCTCAATGCATCATAATTGTCAAAACAACACCCACTTAATGTGAGGCGGCTAAATAAAAACGTGTCGGACAAGTTCTACATTTATTTTTCACACCTAATATTAGAGGACTCTAGTTTCTTTTTGAAAAACACTCATTTCTTGACAGCCCTCTCGATGGACGATCAAAAACTCACTGGCCAGAACTTAATACGATGTTTTTTCTCTGATGTATGTCAGACGTTTTCACAAGGGGGGAGAGCGTAACAGGAGAATTGAAAAAAATAAGCGACGAATTCATCACGGTGGTTGAAAGATAAAATATAGCATACAAAACAACACGAATTTTTCGAAGGTTCATCATCGGTCAGAGGCTTTTGAAGGCGCGTGATATGTGAAGAGTGCTGCGGTTGCTGACCGCCAGGGATCGACTGATTCGAGGCCAGATCAAAGCCACTTCAGTGCATAGCTGATAGCTGTTTAGGAATATCGGGCAACGTCACAACTCCTTTGGTTATGAAGAAGGGTCCTTAATAATGTTGTTAAAAAAACCGATCTTAGCAGCAATACCACCAGTTGACGGAGCTACTTTTTTGGACGCTGGACGAGGTGCTACTGGTTTCAAATTCTTCTGTGTTTTGATAGGTGTGGCGGGCTGGTTGGATGTGGAAGACGGCAAGCTTTTTTGGTTTCCGGTCTTGTCATTGGGCGTAGTTGAATGAGTGTCATTTTTACATTCTATCGGTTTTAACGGCTGCGTTGTTTTAGGCTGCGTGGTAGATGTGTCTTCGTTTTTACTCCCTGTTTTGTCGGGATGTTGTTTTGGAATATCCCGCCTAATTGTTGAATCCATATGAGACCATCCAGGTGCTGGTTTGGAATCCTTTGTTACTTCCGCGGAGGTAATGTTACTCGCCTTTACTTTGGACTGCTGTTTGCTTGATGAGTGCGCCTGATCTAGATTCTTCTCCTCCCGCGAAAGTTTTCTGTCAGACTTGTGCTTCTGTTTAGAAAGGGAATCTTTACGTTTCGGTTTTGGTGAACCGCTGCCCCCTACGTGATTCGAGTCATCGCGCTTAGTAAACCGACTCAAAAGTGATGGTCGAGGACCAGTACTAATACTGGGTCGTGGGGTCTCCGGGGAAAGTTGTTCTGGCGAACTGCGTTTCGAAGCAAATTTGCCGAAAATTGCGTTGTTCATAGCCTTGAAAGACATCCTCCTATCTTTTTGTTTCGTGTCTGCCGCAGGTTTATTGTCAATCTTGGGGCGTTTGCTGCATTCTGCGGCCTCGACAGGTCTTGACGGAGTTGTTTTTGACAGCGAGCTCGTCGACAGTGGAGGGGTTGGTTTCTGACTTGTTGCCGGTTTGTTTCCGGCAGTGGAGGGTTGGTTAGATTCTTGCCATTCGGATTGTGGATGTTGAAGTACTACTCCCATACGTATTAGCGCAATGATGGCGTTAACCGCCTTCTGAAAAATGGAAAAATATTTACGTGGAAATGAGGTCTGTGGCAACGGTGTCCTGTGGTGTATTTGCCATTGATTAGTATGACAGCGTCAGCGGAACCGGATACATCATCGATCAATTTTCATTTGCGGTGTAAAAGAAACGACTCAAGTAAATATCTTTACTTTGTTTGGGTCTAGTCAGAAAGCACTTCCTCAGTACACTCGATGCAGCTGAATCAAATTGCTTCAACAGACTAACGTGTTCCTACCTGGGTGATGGAGATTTCGACCTATCACTTTCCTCAGACGGGCAGGATACTAAATTAAAATAATATTTACTTGTCAGAAATGTAGGTGACTTGTACTAACACGAATAAGAATGGTGACGAATTTTGCTGTGAATGAAAACACGAATCCTGCAAAGTGATATTCTGTGCTGGGATACGAAGAAAGTAGGAATTATTCTAACAAGGTAAACAACCAGACTTTTCACTTTATTGATGCGGCAATATCAGCCACGAATGGCCGAGGAGCCATGTGGTGTAGAATTCCACCTGCACCTAGAGAGATCATGAACAAATTTAGCGAGTTGTTGACGTTTTCATGCCTTATTGTGCTGCCCGATTATAGGTTACCTCTGTAACATGAATTTCTAATGACATCACGATAACAGCTGCATGTGTTTGTTCAGTGGTCCAGCATCAGTTTGGCCAGATCCAAGAAGATACTCCTAAGCGTACAAGAATAAATCTATGGTATGTCAGGTGCAGAATTCTACAAAGTTTGATCCTAGTTTCAGCGCGACACTATCTATGGGTTAGTGATGAATTAACAACAACCGACAATTAACCCCAACAATTTTCACCATAGCTTGGTGCGTGTTATTTATTACAAAGTGGGGCGGAATTTCGTCGATCTTAAAAGCATTAAGTCAAACTAGCGTGGCTTAACCCAAAAGGCACGCTTGGGAATAGGGTTGGACCATCTAACCCTACCTACCGGACAACTACTTCACCAGCTGAACCACCAAGGTCGCTTGCTTATTCCCCGAACACTTCATATGCTTCGTTGTGCTTCTACATAATTTCTGTCGTCAATGATTGTGGGCTTTGTGAGAGAGATTTACAAATGACTGGACCTTGATACCATCCAGATACCTGAAATGTGTTGAAATAAGCTGGAAGAAAGTGGATGAAATGTGACCGAATGCAAAACACGCAAGGGCCATATACAGAAAGTGGACCAGAACCACCAGGTCTCCGCTTAAACTGTAAGGAATCTGTCAGTCAAGCTATAGGAAGAAAGCTTTATTTTGTGGTATATGTGATACACTTAGAGTCTAATCCTCTTCCGAAATCATTGCACCAGTTGGAGGACCAAAAATCTTCTTGTTCACATACTTGTGGCCAGTTTTCGTGCCAAAGTCCAAGGACAATGGTTGTGACGCACTTACGAAATAAGTTTCGTTTTAGTAACAGTAGAAATCTTGAGGATAAGGGATGTTGTCATGCGTTAGAATATGAATAACGGCTTAACTGGGTCAGTTTCTGATGGGACTGTTAGTAGGTGCTGTTGCATTAGTGAGAGAACCAAATTTAATAGTAGGTTATTAATCTTTGGGGGGCCGATACAAAATAGCCTTCAGAGTATGCCAAACGCAAGTGAATTTGATTGAAGAAGCCAGTTATATCTAGGCAGGATCCGTGCGCATTCTTATCCTTTCACTGCGTGTAAATTCAGATTTTAAGTAGGATGATGGTCGTGTGATCTGTGTTGCCCGAGACTGAATAACCGCTGTCAGGGGATGTAAATGTTTTTCGATAGCATGACGAGCTTCAAAACATTCGATCAAGATTTCTCCCTATAAATTGAGTCATTCTATACCGAAAAGCTGAGTGCACTATACAGCTGTGCGCGTCTTACGCGAGGGGATTCGGAGGTCCAACCACAACTTGACCACGTGGTGTGAATAGTATGATTGAATTAGAAGTCGGGCTATATCCCGTGAGAGTGGGAGCTAATCATACTGTTGATCAGCTAGTTCAGTCTTTGACTACTAACCGGGAGTTCGTGGGTAAAAAAATACCTAGAAATTGACAAAATGTGCACTACTGACGACTCCAAACCAGGGATAAACATTTATAGAGTGCAGTATGATCTTCGTGTACAGACTGCCTTCAGTTTTTGAATAAAATCTTGACTGATGGTGTTTCAGAAGCGCTAACCAGGCCGGCAAATAAACATTTGCTATAGTGAATACGTTTCTTCTAACTCCCACCGGTCCAAGTCCGTTCTATCACCCCTCTCGAGCCTCCCGTTGCCTCCCTAAAAATGTCATTCCAGACCTTATTTTACCAGAAGCGAAGGCACCCCGTTGCTACTCTCAACACGGATTTTTCACAGTTTATGCTACAACCATGACAGTTTGACTGTATTCACTTGCGGATGTTTGTTTTGTTTAAGCCTGGTGTGAAACGCCTAAGAGCAGGGCAGAAACTTTTGGACGATAACAAATCGAAAAATGTGTGGAATGGAGAATGGAATCTATTTTACGAGAGGGAAGGTCATGAAAATATCAACGAAGTCCTTTTGGATTGGCTTACCTGCCATTTTCTCCGGTAAACAAAATGTTTTAGTCTCTTTTTGCTCACTGTTCCCTTCCGTTTCAGCTGTTTTTTCCGCTGCAGGTAAAAGATTGATGGTGTTTCAGAAGCGCTAACCTGGCCAGCAAATAAACATTTGCTATAGTGAACACGTTTCTCCTAACTCCCACCGGTCCAAGTCCGTTCTATCACCCCTCTCGAGCCTCCCGTTGCCTCCCTAAAAATGTCATTCCAGACCTTATTTTACCAGAAGCGAAGGCACCCCGTTGCTACTCTCAACACGGATTTTTCACAGTTTATGCTACAACCATGACAGTTTGACTGTATTCACTTGCGGATGTTTGTTTTGTTTAAGCCTGGTGTGAAACGCCTAAGAGCAGGGCAGAAACTTTTGGACGATAACAAATCGAAAAATGTGTGGAATGGAGAATGTAATCTATTTTACGAGAGGGAAGGTCATGAAAATATCAACGAAGTCCTTTTGGATTGGCTTACCTGCCATTTTCTCCGGTAAACAAAATGTTTTAGTCTCTTTTTGCTCACTGTTCCCTTCCGTTTCAGCTGTTTTTTCCGCTGCAGGTAAAAAGCAAAAGGAGTGTGAAATTTCGAATACCTGTTCTAACATTGCCTAGAAAAAGTAGATGTAACGTGGGGCAAAAAAATGAACACATAAGGAGCCATGAACAATTCAGCTATTTAAAAATTACAATCAGTTCACCTGGTGGCAAGTTCGTGGCTGATTATGCGGGGAGTGCAGGTTGACAAGTTAACCAAAGTATGACTTTCAGCCGCATTCCAAAAAAAACAAAGACTGGATTTTGAAGTAAAAAGATTCGAGGATGTAAAATCCCCTGACTCCTCCCCCTTGAAGAAAGTCCAAAATAATTCATTTGTTAAAGAATATTATGGTTCCGTCATTCGCAACATCTCTTTAAAACATACGTTTCTATACCTATGATTATGTTAAGATATAATCTTGCCGTCCATCCTCGATCTACTTAACTTCGCAAAATTTTGATGTAAACATGATGAACATGGTTGATAAAGTTGACAACCGGTAGGGGGGATTAGCCGTCTTTACGTAGATATGGGCTGTAGAACCAAAAGGTGTCCTGAGTCACTGCTACGTTGACAGACACGTGGTCGAAAACCTAGCTACGTAATTAACAGAAATGCTACGGTTTCCTGGTCCCTAAGAAAGAGTTTCTAAAAAGACATGAATAATAAAAAGTTACGATGGGTCTTGTCTCTTGGGTGTCTCAGGCGTCGTTACTATTGTGAAATTAGAGGTTATTGTGCACACATTTCCGACGTTGCATCTACTCAAACGGAGAGACAAGATCCCAATTTTGGTGTACTACATGCAGTTATCCCCCGTGTGATTCAGAAAAGGCTTTAACCTTGGGTGCAGTTCCGATGGAGGCAAGCAGAGTTGTTTGCCGTAGTGCAACTGCGCTCAATAGTCACGCTTAATTGTTATTACCCTTTTGAGTCTCCAATCGGAAGTCAGTAAGGCCTAATCGAAATTCTATGGCCGTTTTGGTGGGTTCATCTGAGGGTCTGAGACAGAAAGTTTTCTTTACATTTCAGTTGGAGGTTTGTTGGGAGACCAATAGACTTATAGTTTTGAGTGTCGCACTAACTGGAAAAATAAAATATTCCTCGTCACGCGACAAGCTTTTCATGGTTTTGTGTGCAAACTGCAGTGATGGGCAATTAATTTCGTATCATAATGTAGACTCCGGCAGAGACTCCAACACCTATCTTCCATTTGCTCATAAATAACTCAGTCAAACGTTTAATGGTTTTGAGTACAACGAAAGTTTTGCTTTGCCCCCTTAACCCACAAATTAGTTCCCTTAAAATAATAAAAGCAGTTACCATTCCATGTCAGGTATGTAGTGTTCAAGGGCGTACGTTGGAGAAATCGAAGTTACCTAGAAATTTACAACCAACGGCATACGAGTCAAACGAATAGTCACAGGTGTGCTGTCCACTTGGAAGTCAGACTTTTGAATCATGAAACTTCCAGTGTGATTTCTTCTATGGAAGTTCGTTTCTTTCATATTGTTTTTAAAAATTCGAGGTCTGTGTTTGAAAGATTTACCAATCACATCCACAGAAAAACAGATCATCTGCCAAAAGAAACCAATAACTCTGGCTAGAAGATCTACCTGCTACAAGTGATGCAGGCGCAGGATAAATTTATGTATATGATGAACGGATACTCTATAATTTTTTTGGTGAACCAGAGCTACGTGCATTTAAAGTCTGTGAATTATTACCTTGTGATTATAGAAATACTGATAGGGAAGTCATATGGGATGAAATATGTAAAACCAGTGTCCGAAGTAGAAATCAATCGCAATTCTGTGTGAAAAGCCACTGTAAGTATAAAGTGTTTTTTCGAATGGACTGTAATTGCAAACCACTGGATGTGACCTCCATGCAAGATTTGAACCTTAGTGAACTGATTAAAACGGATGACTTTTCCATTCACTGGATATCAACTTGAAATTTGCATACAAATGCATACGTAGTGTAGTGGATCAACTCAGCCAGTCGGTATGTTTGATTGCAATGGAAATTGGAAAAGCGTTCGATAAAAAAAACTGTCAGAAAAAGGAAAAAACGTATGCTTCCGAAGCAGCTGTGTGTGAACTAAATTCACGCGATTGACATGTTTCTTTAGAACCAAGGTCATATCACAATTATGTTCTAACAGAAAGAAGTGAAGTGAAATTTTCACAATACTTGATCCGAATAATGTAGTTTACAGAATAATTGCACATGCCTGTGGGCTCGTTTGTGCTATTACTGTTCAGCCCGATCCGAATATCGTAAAGGTTAATATTGCTCAGCGGATGGGAATAATGGAGGCGACATTTTCTTCTTAGATGTGCACTTCATATTGATCGAGGAAACCCGAGTTTCGAATTTTTACGATGCACCACAGTGAGTTAACCGACACACGCGAACGCTATTCTAGCGTAGTAACTTCTTACCTTAATCCACGAGTGCTGAAGGCACTCGGAGGCCGTCATCCGCTTTCTGTGAAAAACAAAAAAACAAAACGTATTGCAAATCAAACCAGTACCATAGACGAAAAGATCTTTGAATAATTGGAAGTAGTCAGTTTTATTATTGTTCGGTTCCCCCAATCCAGAGAAACCAGACTGTTCCCTACAGTCCTTTGTTTTAATAGCACTCCTCACAAACGACACTAGTTGTCCTTGCTGGAGTTAATGTGCTATGTGGGCCAGTGAACCGCAAGTCAGAATGCAACGATATAGGGGGCTGAAGATCACGCTGATACTTTTTATTTTTTAAGTTGGCAGAGAGGCAAACCTTCAGAAAAGCATTGGGTGTATCACACAATTTATAAAGTTTACAAGTGAGTCGAGTGTTCTCTGAACTTCCGAATGGTGAACCATCTCCTATTTACCGTCAATGATCCTGTAGATTTTCTAAACTGAAGATACAAATTCGATGATACTCGTGCTCTGTTAGATGCAGGATTTTCTCCGTAACATAATTTTATTGTGCAAACATAGCCTTGAGTTTATTCTGGTAGTGAGATACACATATGCTTTAGAAATTAGAGATACATAGCATTTGTTTAATGTAACTGTGAACTGTCTAACAGTATAAAGGCTTTTCTATAGAGGAAAATGTTGGTAGCTCAGGCAGCGTAGATGGTGGTCGTTGGCTTGTTCACTGAGCTGGGCAATTTGATTGCAAACGTTTCATCGCCAATAGGGGTGACATCATCAGTGTAAAGGCTTCTTCCAATTTGATTGTCTCCAGGTAGGTTCGGAATTAACTGCTATGCGACCTACTACTTCAACGCTCTGACCTTCAAAACGTGGTAATCCCGTTGTGGCATAAACTCGCAAACAGACCATCATTCTGGTATTTCTGGTGGTCGTAGAGACTAATGCCGTGTAATTTGAATACACTTTCTTCTGTGACTCAAGCAGACACAAGGTTGGGCAGACTTCCGTCTGTGGAATTTCTTGCCTACCGATCCATGTGCAAGATGGTTGATGAGCTGAGCTGATCTTCACCTAGTGTAAACTCAAGAGGATAAGAAAAAAGAATATGCAAGTATAGGCTGTTCTAGAGCCGGAATACTGCTGCATCTTAGGCCATTGTGAGCTCTCGAGCCGAAATGTTTGGTCACTGAATTGCCGGACACCTGTTTATATCCTGATTCATAGTAGATGTCCTCTAAGTTCGCCAGGCTGCACACCAGACTTGTCTTTCGGGAAGACCAATTCCACAACGCTAAACTGGGTTCAAAGAAGCTTCTTCCAGTTTACTCTGTTGACGATATCAAAACCAAATATGGTGGTCTACATAAATGCATTTTGCTTTCTTTCGTCTACGTAATTTTTGACAGGAATTGGCAAACCTCAGTGAACGTTATTAGAATTATCCATGATTCCTCGCAGTCGCCCACGTCCCAAGCCCTGGTCAAGTCCAGTTGTTCGACTGTGGAGATTGGAGATATTCTGTAGAATTTCGTCTAAGTTGCCAAAAAAGTGGGTTTAAGGTCCAATGTGCTGCTGAGAGCCAAACTGTTCTGCTGGGGCGTTTGCATCAGTAACTCCAGCTGTCAAGCGTTTGAGCATGACCGGTACCAGCGCATTTTTCACACCACTCCGTGATCCTAAGTCTTACCTACGTTTTATCTTTAGGTCAATGATATTAGAATTTCTGTGACATTTAGTGTTGCACTTTCTGCTAGACGATATGGGTAGTTATTTGAATGAATTCTTACCCTAAGTTTCGACCACCATGCAAGTATGTCCTTATCTTACCCATATCTAGCTTTACATTTCGTTCATTCGCCTGTTTTCTCCGTTTTGTGTCTACGGGAAGGTTTATTCTTTTAGCCAGTCTACTTGAATCGCCTTGAAAGATATTCGTTGAATTCCGTGCGCCATATACCCATTATTCGTAAAACCGATTTGTTTTGATTTGCCTATGCTGTGCCTACCTTTCGGTGGAGCTCGTCGTCTGATCCACAGCTAGTTTTTAAGAAGACTTATCATGATAGGAACAACTCATAAGGTTGCTGAAAACTTTAGACAGCCAGTGACCAGTTTCGCTCTTCCTGAGGTTCATTAGGTACGTGTAACCTTGTGTTCTACTTGAAAACATTAGGATGAAATTCGACAAACATCCACAGCTAGTTTTTAAGAAGACTTATCATGATAGGAACAACTCATAAGGTTGCTGAAAACTTTAGACAGCCAGTGACCAGTTTCGCTCTTCCTGAGGTTCATTAGGTACGTGTAACCTTGTGTTCTACTTGAAAACATTAGGATGAAATTCGACAAACACACTCATTTACGTACCAGTTTGGTTTTCATTGAAACGACTCTTGAATCCCTGCTGTTGTTAAATGGCACTGCACCTGTATTTTCACTTTGTTTTGTTTAACTTCCGTCCCTTGTATGGATGAGTTGTTGATTTACGGCATTTTCTAGAATTTGTCGTGCAACAAAGCCAGGACGAGCAAGATAGAAAGCTGAGTTTCTTATTTTATCCACTAGTGTTTGCCGTCTCACCTTCAACGAAGTCCTTGTTGTAGTTGCCCGATCATTTTAGGTGCTTTCGTTGGCATTTATTACTTCGCATTAGTTCTGTTATCAAGTGACACAAATTGAATTCAGTCAACACAGCAGTTAACTGATGCCGGTAAACCAGAGTAACATTTCGGAAGTTCTTAGGCAAAGTGTGTACGTTTACCGGTGGAGTTGGCACATTGTGGCCCACATAGCTGGATAGTTAATTTCGTTCGAACAAGATATGAATCTGTCCCATATCTAGCTTATTGCCTTAAGCTTGTGGTTCCAAAATAAATATCTTCCTGATCCAGTAGGTGGGAATGGCCGCTGTGAGTGTTTCCATGCAGAGGGGTTAGTCATTTGGGGAAGCTTATTTTGAGCGATCATTGCAAAACCCGAGCAGCCGATTATCCGTGGTATTCACGGCCTATATAGGGTGGCTTCATAGAAAGCCTGACTTCGGGCGTTAGTCAAGAAACTTATGTGTAACTGTTCAAAAAATGATTTAACTTTGAGCGACAGGCCTGAATGTCTATCCAAATGTTCATCGATTTTCATGGAACACTATGCAGTTACCAAACCCTGCTCTTGAGTCCAACCCTTAAGGCGTGAGAATATGTTGCTTCCTCTCAAGAAGACCAGTTGCACAGGAGCTTTTAGAATGGTAACATACAAGGCTTGGATACATGACCTTTTGGTCGAAGTTTTGCATGGGTATTTCGCCACTGTACACTCTCACACAGTGCAAAGCTATTACACAGCCTCAATTTTAAAGGTTCCCAGGGCTTTCAAGTAGGCCGATAACAGTGTGACCTCGTGCTATGATTCAGCTGTGCAATGCGGGGTCCGATTAAGTGCGTTTGAAGACAAAATTGTGTTTAAACTTATTCACTACGTCTAAAATGAACATAATCTCATAAATGGCCGGTGGTTGGTGATATTGGTGAAATGCCTTCAAACATTTGATTGACGATTCTCGATGTAGCCTTTGTTACCAGCTCTAAGATAAAACTTCATTTTCTATTGAAAACTGTAAATTCAGCAGAGCATCTTTTTGTAGCTTAACTGCTTGGCCCAGAGTGAAGATGAAGGCACACTTTAACAGTCAATGTGTTGAACATGGAGGTGCACTTGTAACGGATCCCATTAACCAGCGTAGTGATAATGGTTGACTGCTTGCTCACCAGTTAAACCAAGAGAAAGTCTCCTTGTTTCACCATACCAGTGAAAGGAAGAATACCTTCGTTGTGGAGTTAATTATTCGGAAATGCCAACTGATCAGTTGCAGACCATTGAACAAGGAAGCAAACTCTAACCCTGCATCTTAGTTACAAAAACTGGACACATCTTCTCCCGAACGCGTCCTCCTGGAGATTCATTGCCTCCAATCATTCGTCGGTCGAATAAAAGCAAATGTTACAAAGTGGCCCCGCGAATTCCGCAACAGAATTCCATTTTTCAATCGACGCAAAGCGAAATTCTACGAACAACACATACTACTCGCGTGCCTCCCGATCAGTAGTATCACCGTTACACCAGTATCATACTGTGCACATATTTCAATGTATCATCAAACCTGAGTGAAATAAAGGGCCATTTCCGTGACACATGCTCGTAAAAATCTAAAAACTTGCTGAGGTGCTACGAAGCAAGGCTAGTGCAAAGAGAAAACAAGAGAAACAAGTTTGATAAAGCATACCGTGACAAACTTACACAGATTTTAAGATGAATGGAAAGTTGTACCAAAAATTCTACTGGGGTTCAATCATATTGCGTGAAGTATTTTTTCGAAGAGAATTCCAACTCACTTTACATATATTTAGTGTTCTGGTCGATATTTACTAGTACTTTGAGAACGAACCTTTAAATTTCTAAGGCTTAAACATTAATCACTTTGTGATCACAAATGCAATGGGGGGGGGGGAGTTCAAAATTGAGTAAACTGTACAAACTCAATGTTTAAGTTCCTCCAGAAAAGAACCAGTTTCCGCGCCCAAAATCAGACACCTGAGATTTACCGATTCCAAGCTAGTTTGGTATTCTTCCTAGATTTGTCGGGAAGCAGAGGACATACCACCAGTGTGTGCATAGAGGTTGAAGCAACCAATCAACATGAACACAATCCAAATCACTGATTGATCGTGCTACAATAGACTGGTAGTTCAGTATGCATAAATTTCAAATGACAAGCACTGGCAAAATACGGGAAGTTCCTTCTACGAGTGCCCAGTTTTTTGTAAGACAGATTAACCAAGCCCACTATGCCCACAATTACATCAAATTTCTGTTGGGAACCAAACAATTACAAGGGCGAACGTGCGGAAAAATCACCTTAGAGTCTTGCTATGCAGAGGTCTAGATGTGACAAGCACCGCTTTCCAACTCACCGTGGATCTTTAATGAGCAGCATCCGTATAAAATCCCGAGCTCCTTCCGAAATTTCTTCGAATTCTTGATAATCGAAGTCATACTTCACTCGTATAATGTTTGCCAGTGTCTCCCCTTGGCTGTCACCCATAAATGGCGATAATCCAGACAACCTGTACGAAAGCATTAAATAAATGTGAATGCATAAGGGATGGTTTTCAAAGCAGGGACACGAATGGCGTTATTTTGCTTACTAGCAAGAGTAGTAGCCCATCCACTTTCCTTGTCTACTAGAAAATCTTGGTTGGTCACTGACATACATGGTAATTTTTAGATTTCCACAGCAATCATATAATGAAAACCACTGAATAAGAGGATTAAACTGCGAGCAATTTATGGATCTTCCATAATGCTACTCATCGGCCATAATAAGACTGTTATGTTCATCACACTCCAACAAGATGCAGTGAAACTCACATGACATAACAAATCACACCGACAGACCACATGTCCGCTGCTGGAGTTACCGGTTCATAAGAGATTACTTCTGGTGAGACGAATTCTGGTGTTCCGAACAAGACGCGAACATCTGATTCACCGTAAAATCGAGCAAGGCCGAAATCAATGATTTTGATTTTGAAACTTGTCTTGGAAAGACACAAAATATTTTCTGGCTGTAAAAATAAAACGAGAGCGGAAATGATAAGCCTACGTGTTGCAAGGATTTTCAGCTATGAGTTTGGATGAGAGAGGGGGTTTGATCGATTCACATACTCTCACAAGGTAATTGATGAGTTGCGCTGGTTAAAAAAAGAATAATCAACTAATTTCAGCTTATTGCTTTAGTTTCTTCAAACTGAGTCCCATCTTGTATGCTCAAAGACTGATGAAACATTTTCTCCGCTTGTGCGAGATGAATTCTTTCAACAAAAAATATTCCTCTGTTTTCACACTGTCTTTACGGAATGTCGTTAACTATCTTGAAATATTGGCTGTCCATTAACAGAATAAAATCATTCAATAAAATCACATTACGTGACAGACACGGAGGGTATAGTGACGAAAGAATGTTTCCATAATTCCTTCTCAGATCAATACAGTTACATGTTATCGGAGCCTCATTATCAGTTTCATACTCATCTAGCAAAGCTGTACACAGCAGTAAGCCTTCAATGATTTATGTTCTGGGCGGAAAGGAGAGTTTGGGGCACTGGTTGTTGAAAATATCGCGCATTGGACAGTCCGTCTGAAGGTAAACTTATCTCGTCACTGGATCACAAGAAGTGCTTTTCAACAAGGAGAAGAAGTTCCCAAAGCGGACAGGTAATAAATGGTTAGTTTACTGTCATGTGGTTTGTGGATGCTGCGTATGTGCATGTTACTTTGTATGGGCGGCTGACACATCGTGGCCTTGAAGTAGGTCATGTGATGCTTCCTGCGGTGCCCGACCTGTTTTTGTGAGGTGAATCAGGTCACATCTGGCAGGAGGGAACCTACCCTGTCAGACCCATTGTGAATAGCAATCGATTCGTCACAGCATCTGTTTGCACGCACACAGAAATTGTACCAAAAAATATCGACCTGATCGACGTATGTCCTGATTACGTTTAGGCATTACATGAAATACGATTTTGGTTCGTCCAACTGAACATCACTTGAACTTTCGTGGGATAGCGTTTCTACTTGGGCAATTGTTCAGTTTTGACACAAACCTGATCTGTACAGTTTGTCTACAATATTGTAGGTATCTTAAGTAAAATCCTCGGGAGGAATGGTAGTTGGAAAATTCCAAAATACTTGCTTCTATGGCATGTTTTTTCTAGAAACTAGGAATGGATTTCATAGGGGATGGCACGCAATGGACACTTTCAAAATTTTACTTTCCGTGGATACGTTATTTTTGCAGTGGAACAAACACCACGGTTATGCGTATATATATATATATATATATATATATATACGCATAACCGTGGTGTTTGTTCCACTGCAAAAATAACGTATCCACGGAAAGTAAAATTTTGAAAGTGTCCATTGCGTGCCATCCCCTATGAAATCCATTCCTAGTTTCTAGAAAAAACATGCCATAGA